TTATTATCATGTCTTTATGAGGTAGGTAATTTATGGACTTTCACCAACGGGCTACCAAACTATCTATAAGACCCAATACTATAATTAGATAAGAATAATATCATCTTAATATTTGTCCTAGGATGAATAAAAATATTTTAGAAACCTCAAATCACTTTTTAAATATTGATCATGAAGTTTGAGTTTCGAGCAAATTGATTTTTGAATCAAACTTAGTTTCCAATGTGCTTAAGTTTGAAAAGGGTATTTAAGTAATTTTATAAATTTTTTTTGGTCAAAATAAGGTTTTCATTGAATCCAAAAGGCCAAATAACCTAGGGAGAGGTAATATGGGGTGTATTAGAAGTTAGAAAGTATTCTGGAGTTAAAGCGTATTTTAGAAAAAATTCGGGTAGGGAGGAATTTGATACTACCTTAGTATTTGGCCCATAACTTTCTACCCCAATGTCCGATTGATCTGAAATTTTTATATTACAAACTAGACTTCAAGTATTACAAAAATTTTTGTGAATCAGCGTCTAACTAGGCCAAAACTTTCTTAGAACTTTAGGTAAAACTGGAGTCCGTTCAAGCGCGAATGGATCCATTCGAACGCCATGTAGATATTTAGAACATCAAGCTTCTAGTTCGAATGTACTGTCACAATTTTGAATATCAGGTCTACGCCGATTAGACTATTTTCTCATCCTATAAATTCCTAAGGACGCCTCCCCTAACCCTATTTCATTAGTTTTCCTAGAGAACCTTAGAGAGCAAGAGAGAAGAAGAGAAACACAAGATTGAAGGGAGATTCTCACATTGGAATAGATCAAACACGCTAGGTTTACATACAAACTATGAAACCAAGGTAGGGAATTCTTCTTGAGTTCTTTCATTGAGACTTAGGGTATTATATATGTATGTTTTCAATCTTCTGGATAGTTATATGATAAATATTTTTATGAGTTATTGGTTCTTTATCATTGAAACATAGTTTTGAACAAAATACATGTTTGAGTTCAATGAATACTCGTTCTTTAATTTCTAAAATCCCAGTTTTGCTAGATGCATGTTTGATTGTGAAAAATACATGGATTCTTGATTTCTAAATTCCTATTATTGATAAATCATTTTTTCGTCTAATACTTGTTTTGTTTCTAATAAATTATGATTTTTGGCAAAACCTAAGAATTTTGATATCAAAATTGTGAAGGTTTTTTTAAGATGATCTCTTGCATATTTTAACTTTATTACTGTAGTATATTGAGGATTGTGTAATTATGATACTTGAATTGCTAATGGAAATTGTAACTAGTTAAGATTGTGGCTGTTGAGAAAATTATGGTTTCATTTCTTGTATAATTTGGGTGTGACGAATTTGAATTGCCTTCAAGAGTTGTCGTAAGTGTTAGATGTTAGTCTATCCTAGTGGAGTGAGATGGTTGCCTAACTATTGTAGTGGTTTTTGTTTGTGAGAGAAACCATTATTATTTACATAAGTTCGAGGTTGAGGGAGAGTATACCTTTCTTGGAAAAGATTCGTCAATGTCATGGGAGACAGCACATGCCCTTCCTAAAGTTGTTTGTGATGTGCCCTACAGAGAATGATTGAGATTGTTTGATTTGTGGTTGGTGAACGAGGTAGAATCGTTATGTAGATTCTTAAGAAGCAACTAACATACATGAGAATATGAGATGATGTTACTGAATTATTTATTGATTATTTTAATTTCTTACAAGTTTATTCCTATCATTGATTTATTGTATTCCGTACACTTGAGATCATTACAACTGTCATGGTTTTTACTCTAAAAAATTTATATATGCTATTTTTCAAAAGAGACTTACCTTCTTTTTATTGTTTTAAAACTTTGTTTGGATTTAAAAGGGATTTCCTATGAGCTTTTGCTCACCTCCTACAACACACTTATAGATTTTGGCATAGAAGAGGATGTCAATGTGGATGAACAGGTTAATTACGTCATTGGAAGATCAAGATGTGGACCTTGTCATAGAAGAATAGAGTTGTTTTATTTTTGGTTTAGTATTTGAGAGATTTCTATGAAACAACGTCTCAGCTAGTTTTTATTATTTTACTGCTAGATACTATTTGGTTTTGAATTGTAAGTTGAACAAGTTACCATGTTTTATTTGCTTTAGTATTTGTTCTTTGTCAAATGAATGAATGGTTTATTATTTAATGGTTATTGTAGTTGCTCTCATGATTGGATGATTTTTAGATAGTAATGTCTTCTAGGATGGATTTTGGGGTGTTACACTATCAATGGATCTCGAGGACATCTTACCTCTGGTTCCGTATTTGCCGTAACACTTTTATGGACTCGTTACACTATCGAACAGTGTGTAACTAAAAAATCGAGTTTTGCACCCAAGGGAGAATATAGCCCTTCTTACTATACCCTACCATATTATCATGCAAAATCCCATGAGACTCAATCGAATATGTCCAATTTTTTCAAGCCCCACCCACTCACCTATGTGGTAAGTAATCAATCCATGCACAAACACAAACTACCATGCTAATGCATCATGGATGTTGTGTTAATCCCGTGCACATGCCATGTATGCCCCAAATGAAATTTAAATGAATTTACAATCTCAAATATAGCAAGAAAGCATAAATTTCTCATTCTAGCATTTCATCAAACATGTGATATACATCAATTAACCCACATAGCATACTTGTCCATAGTACGACATTTCATCGAACATTTAAAATGCATAGAAATCATGAATTTAGCATACTTATCATAATCCACATAACAACAAATTCATTTACTCAATACTACAAGTATTAGGATAACACGCTCATCAATTCATAAGAGAATCCACTAGCTACACTAGTAATATGCTAATTATACAATTAACATACATATAATTATACCCATAATATATACATGCACTAAATTGAAATTAGTCCTAGATAGAAGGGAACCACCTCTTAGAAGTAAGTGGTGGTGAAGAAAATTCCTTGAAAACCCAACAAAGCCTTCTTCAAGATCTAGTCAAAACCCTTGGCCTGAAAGTTGGGGAAAACTAGTTGATGTGTAGCCCTCATCGCATAAAACAACTTTAATTCTTGGTTGATGAATATCCAATAGTTGGATCAAAAGTTATGATCCAAAGATGAAGGGAGAAGTTGATGAAATTTGGAAGCTTCCCCCTTTCTCTCTCTCTCTCTCTCTCTCTCTTTTGGGCCAGAGAAATGGAAGACAAGTCTTCCAATGCAAGCATTTTATACTAGGTGTAGAGCTCGCAAATGTCACAATGTGAGTGGTTAGAATTCCAAGAGATTCAATCACATTCTAACACATGTCATGTTTGGATAATGTTAGTTGAGTAGCTATTTTAGTTATATTGTGAGTCCCGCAAATAAAAGTCAAGTTATTGAAATTTTAATCGTGTATCGGCCGATCTATTTCGCCTTGTTACACATGAAAATTCTAGCTATTTCAAAATTTAACAAAATTTGTACAGCCAACTCATTTTCGCTAGACGATTCAAACGGTGAGCTTCGTTTCGCCATCTGAGATATATAAAATTTTAGATTTTTAACCTTGCTTAAACAATTTAATTGTCGTATTACCCTTTTAATCGATTTATTAAAATTTCTAGGTTTAATATATATGCTTTAAAAACCTTGTTTGGATTTGAGAGAAAGTTTCTATGAGCTTTTGCTCACCTCCTATAACCCACACTTTCAAATTTTGAAACATAGGTGAATATTGAGTTGAATGAACATGTGGACATCAAGATCGAGGTTGACCAGGATGGAGATCTCGGAGATGAAACTTAGAGTTGTTCTTTAGTTTATGAATTTTTAGAATGCATTCCTTGGTGATGTAATAAGCATTCGGTAGTTTGTCATTCATTTTTGGACTTAGTATTATTCAAATGTTTTAATATATAAACTTGGGGAATTACTTATTTAGTTTTGGGAGTTTTATTTATTCATGAGTTATGGTGACTATTTTTTATATTTTGGATAATATTTTAATTGCTCTCATAGTAGGATGATTGGTAGATAGGTAATGCCTAGATTATGAAATTTTGGGCATTACATTTACGACAATGAAACATAAGGTTACCTCTAGATTTTTTTCTATCCCTCAGAGATCAATGACTTAAACTATTCCTCTTAGGAGTAGGCTAACCACTAGGAATTCAAAGTAGATTAGAATTAGAATGAACCATAAAGTAAACAACAAAGGAGAATCGTCACATTAACTACTATACTCGGAATTGAATGGAAAAAGTCACTAGAGTGACGACAAAATAATTATAAAGTGGAGTAAAGTAAATGAACATAAACTTAAACAGTGCAGAGGAAGACTTTGAAATGTTGCTTGTGTGTGTTTATCGAGAGATCCCTTCTTGTTGCCCATGCCTTTGTATTTATAAGTAGTGGCTTCTACCGGTAAAACCATATTTTCTGATCACTAAACTAACGTTCATGATCTCTCTATTTGACGACTAAAAATGTGCATCAAAACCTTATGCAATTGACGATTCAATGATGTCATGTATGCCACGCTTCTTTACATTTAGAGATACCTCACAATCGTCTTATCTCATTTGAAACTTTTCTGACTTGATTCTAATCGTTGGATCTTGCCATGTATTATTCTCAAATTTTTGATATTTGGGTATAAATAATATAAAATCAAGTTTTTTATTTAATGTTGAATAAGAGTATAAGTTAATCAGGGGTCTCATTCAACACAAACACGATCGTGATACAAACTTGACACGATATAATTTTAAAATTAACACATAATAAATGAATTGAGTTAAGATTTGACTCTTATAACAAATTTAATATACTTTTTGCATTAGTATTAACACAAATATAATACAAATTACAATGACAAAATTTGAAAATAACCACAATCAGATGAGCGGACACAAATGACATGACTTAAAATAAAGGTCGCATTGTAAATTGCCCAAATTGAACAAAAATAATTAAGCTCATGTCCCCGGTGGCATCCAAACTGAAGAACATGGGAAGACGAAGAAGAAAAGGATGTAGTCGATAGTAACATCAGATGGGCTGATCAAGAAGCTTGCGAGAGTAGAAGCTGCTTCACTAGCAATGCCAACTTCTATAACAGACACAGCAAGAAGGGCAGACTCATGATGACGATGATGCGGTTGCAGCATTTTATCAAACACAGAGAGAGAAGGATCATCTCCTCCTCCTCTTTCTCCTCACAATTGGTCCCCATCAATATGTTTCTATCATCATCCTTATCATCATCAACCAATAACACCCACCACCCAGTCCAACGACCATCGATCCCAAGTATTCCCAATAGTCAGTTTTACACCTCTTTCTTTTGCACACTCATCCAACTTTACCTCCGTTGCTACCGACTCTCTGAAGCGACCAACGCATACTTGTCCATGCGAAACCGCGGCTTCATTCCCGACTTACCTTCCTGGAACCGCCTTTTGTTCCAGTTTAATGCCTCCGGCCTGGTTGATCTGGTAACACTTTTGTACTCCGAAATGCTCACTTGCGGAATTGTTCCCAATGTTGCCACTTATAACATTGTCATTCATTCTTTATGCAAAGTTGGAAAAATCAGTTTAGCTTTTGAATTGCTAAGAAACAATACTATTGAAATTGATACTGTCACCTATAATACCGTCATATGGGGGTTTTGTCGAAATGGGTTTGTGGAACGGGCTTTTGGGTTGGTGTCTGAAATGATTAAGAAGGGGTTTCCGATTGATACTTTTACTTGCAATATATTAATTAAGGGTTTTTGTGATGTGGATTTGTTTGAATATGCAAAGTGGGTTACAGGTTGTTTGGGTAATGATACAGGGAGTTGTCGAGATGTTGTGGGCTTTAATACTTTGATTCATGGGTATTGTAAAGTTGGAGAAATGAGTGGTGCTCTTCAGATGATGCAAAGTATGAGGAATGAGGGTGTCAATCCTGACATTGTTAGTTATAATACTCTGATTGATGGGTTTTGCGAGATTGGGGATTTCTATCATGCCAAAAGTCTTATGGATGAGCTTTTGGGGTCCCAAAGCAACACCAACATCATTGGTGATTTCTTGGAAATTAATGATGGTGGTCAAAAAAAGGATGACGACACTGAAAAGGAGGATAGAGTGATTGGAGGATTGGACATAAAACTGAATCTGATTACATATACTACACTTATAAGTAGGTATATTAAACACCAAGGGCTTGAGGAAGCACTGGGTATATTTGAGGAAATGCTTGCAAATGGGTTCTTGCCTGATGTAGTGACTTACAGTTCTGTTATAAATGGTCTGTGCAAGAGTGGAAGGTTTACAGAAGCTGAATCACTTTTCAAGGAGATGGCAAGGATGGGTGTGACTCCTAATCATGTAACCTATTCTATCTTTATTGATTCCTTTTTCAAAATTGGGAACACAATGGGGGCCAGTAACTTCCAAAGCCAAATGGTAGTTCGTGGGATTGCCTTTGATTTAGTTGCATTTACCACTTTGATGGACGGGCTGTTTAAAGCTGGAAAGTCTAGTGAGGCAGAGGACATGTTTCGATCTATTTTAAAGTTCAATTTTGTTCCAAGTCACATTACGTATTCTGCATTAGTCGATGGGCGCTGCAAAGTGGGAGACATGAATGGCGTGGAGTCCACACTGCAAGAAATGGAGCTGAAAAATATTCTTTCAAATGTTATTACTTATTCTTCTGTAATTAATGGCTATGTCAAAAGGGGTATACTTGATGCAGCTGTTAATGTCATGAGGATGATGGTGAACCGGAGTATTATGCCGAATGTTTTCACTTATGGTACCCTGATCGATGGCTATTTCAAGGCTGGTAAACAAGAACTTGCTCTTGGTTTGTACAAGGAAATGAAGTTGAGAGGAGTGGAAGAGAACATCTTTATATTTGATGCTATAATCAACAACTTGAAAAGAGCGGGACGGTTGGGTGAGGCTGAGGCATTATTTAGACATATGATGTCAAGGGGATTGTCGCCTGACCTTGTTAGCTACACTTCCCTAATGGATGGACTATTCAAAGCAGGGAAGGAGTCAGCTGCTCTTAACCTGGCTCAAGAGATGACAGAGAAAAACTTGCAGTTTGATGTTGTTGCATACAATGTCTTAATTAATGGACTGCTGGGGCTTGGCAAATATGAAGTGCAATCTATTTATACTGGAATGAAACAGGTTGGTTTGTCTCCAGACCTAGTTACATTCAACACGATGATCAGTGCTTGCAGCAGAGAGGGGAAATTGGAGACTGCTCTTATGCTTTGGAACGAAATGAAGAGCTACAGATTGTTGCCTAATTCAATCACTTTTAATAACATGGTAGGAGGGCTTTGTAAAGCAGGTGAGGTTGATAAAGCGATGGATTTGTTGAATGAAATGTTGGCTGTGGGATTTTATCCTACCTCAGCTACTCACAGACTTGTGCTTGATGCAGCTGCGGATAGTAGAAGGGCTGAGACAATTTTACTAATGCATAAGCGGCTTGTAGATATGGGACTTAAACTTAATCAGACAGTTCACAACTCCCTTATCACTATATTTTGCAAGCTAGGGATGACTAGAAAAGCAACTTCAGTGTTAGAAGATATGAGAAAAGGTGGCTTTTCAGCAGACACTAACACATATAATGCCCTGATACATGGTTATTGCAAAAGTACCCATTTAAAGAGGGCTTTTTCTATGTACTTTCAAATGTTGGCTGATGGAGTTTCTCCTAATATTGTAACTTACAATAATCTCCTATGGGGTCTTTCGGCTGCTGGTTTGATGCGTGAGGCAGGTGAATTACTTGATCAAATGAAGGAAAGAGGCTTTGTCCCCAATGCTGCTACGTATAATATTTTGATTTCTGGGTATGGAAAGATCGGAAGCAAGAAGGAATCTATTAAAGTCTATTGTGAGATGATAACCAAAGGCTACATTCCCCAAACTAGTACTTATAATATGCTTATTAGTGATTTTGCCAAGGAGGGCAAGATGAGCCAGGCCAGAGAACTTATGAATGAAATGCAAATCAGAGGGGTGCTACCTAATTCTTTGACTTATGACATCCTCATAAGTGGCTGGTGCAAGCTGTCAAATCAAGCAGAGGTGGATAGGGCGTTAAAAGTCTCATACCGGTCAGAGGCAGAAAAATTATTCAAAGAGATGAATGAAAAAGGTTTTATCCCATGCAAACCTACCCTCTGCTGTATCAGTTACGCCTTTTCCAAACCAGGAAAGAAGGTTGATGCCCGGAGGTTGTTTGATAAAGTGTATGCGAGAAAGAGCATTTGATTGATGAGCAAAAAGAAACCTGATGGACAAATTGACAAGAAAGTGGACAGCAGCTAGCAGCATCAGAAAGCAGATAAAGTATCCAGAGAAGGAGATCAGAGATCTTGCATGAACCATCGACTGAAAAAGAAACATCTTTTCATGAAAGTAAGAATTCTACATTCTCTGGGTTTGTTGTCTTTTCTGGCCTTAACATCAAGTAGTGATAGGTGATGACTTTCTGATTGTTGAATTGATAAAAATTAAAGAAAGTCATTAACCATTCATTATAGATATTTATCTAGCCTCAAACAATTAAATTTTTACCCAACGTCTATAACCAATGCTTACTTTTCAATTGTTGAAAGAGTGCTTTCTTAAACTTGTACTTTACTGTCTTCACTTTCGTTCAACTGTTGATTAGAATTAGGCTGGCTGTTTCTTTGACTAGTGATACTCAACTTAGTTTTCGTCTTTGTATCTGATTGGTTTTGGAAAATTCCACAATTTTCTGCTCAATTGTGCATAAATGAAACCGGGGATAATTGATAGACTAACAATTTTCCATCTTAGAAGACTAAAGAGAATTGTTTTTGTGGAAGGACAAGGACAAAAAGGATTTATGTAACACATCGAGATAGAAAATAAAACAATAGCGAGGCTATGTGTAACCTTAATATGAATGTGGGGTTAGTGCTCTAGACATGACTATAATGTTTAACAGAACAAGCAGAAATTGTTGAACCTTGGTGTCATGGCATTTAGGTATGCACGATTCACATGAGTTTTGCGGATGATTGCTTGATGTACTGGGTTGCAAGAGATGTCTAACATGAATTCCAATGACAAAGTGGGAATTGTGAGCATTTTGGGAACATAGTACAGATACAAGCTGTAATGCTAGGCTGCAAACCGTCTTTGACATGTAAAATTTTTCATCCTTTTGACCATGCGCCCTTCAGGTAAGTAGTGCCAGTGGAAACCATTTATTATGATTTTATGATGGCAGCAACTAGGTTGGTGTATGAGCCACGCCTATGAGGAACTTAAGCACATATTCGATGTCCGAGTGTATAAGGTTCAATTTTGTTTGTGGAGGCTATTGATGGTTGCATCACAACTCTAATTCAAACCTTTTTAGAAGCTTTATCTCTTGTTTCATTTGTTTAGAACTATTGGATATTCATGACTAATGATTTCCTTGGAGAAAAGACGCGAAAAAGGAAAAAGAAGACATTTAACCATCATTTTCTAGAAGAGGAATGATTTGAGCCATTTGATAGTTAACATATCAAACGAATATGTTAAAGATCATATTATCATCTAGTTGGGGTCTAAACTTTCCAATTCTAATCATTTATGCGGTTAAAAAATACCTAGTGGGACTAATAGTGCAATTGTTACGCCTTAATATGTGAATTTCTTGTTATAATTCCCTCATCTATCTATATAATATTAAAACTAACATTTTGAAAACATATTCCCTATATACCACATCAATGTTACAGATCAACTCTAATTCAATCCAATGATGACAAACCATTCCCCAGATTTGACCTTTTCGCCAACATCTCTCAATCTCCCGCCATCTCTTTGCCTCTTCTCTGGCCTCACTCAAGTTCTCTCAATCTACCCTCTGTGTCAATCTCTTCCTTTTCACCCTCATCTCTCTCCTCCTTATGCCTCTTCTTCAAGCTCCTACCTCTCAATCTGCCTCTTCTCTTTCCTCCATCTCTCTACTCCCTCACACATACCATAGCCCAGTGCCTAGCCATCCAGTGCCACTGCCATCCAGCGTCACTGGCTCACTTCCACTTACGCCTAGCGCCAACATCACCTAGCCATCCATCGCCACCGCTCACGACGCCCCTCCCTCTGGTCCTCTTCAATTCCAGCAACTGTCAGTTATCTCTCTATTCCCCTCCATTTGCTCCTCCATTTCTCTATCTCTCCCCATATCCTCCACCAACGTTTGCCACCACTACAGTAGGCCTAGGCCACAACCCCCCACCCACCTCCACCACAATGCGTCCATCCCCTAGCTACCAACCACATCCACTACCACCATTTTCCACCACTCCACAGCCTACACCCACCTCCACATTAGCAAACCATTACCTCCAATCCCATTCCAAATTATTCGAGTTAATATGGTGATTAACATTCATAATATGTCTTCGTGATACAGTAACTAGTTTTCAAAACTATTCAATAGACAAATTTGATAGATAGTCTCGTTAAACTGATGCTAAGTAGGGTAACCTTATTTCAAGATAAAATGACTTGAAAATAAGTAGTGTTTGTCAATATCTAAAAAGTATGCAGATGCTACATGTCTAAAAAATTTCATTGTCGAGTGTCAAAGAATGTAATGTCAAGTGTGTAAAACATTGTACCAATATCCAAAAATATACTTTAGATATTGAAATAAAGAACCTTTTTCCAAATATAAAAAATGATGTTATGCCACACAAGAGAACAAAGTAACCATCCTAAAATTCACCATTAATATCAAACCATTAGGGACTTTTACCTTAGGAAGATACGCTACCTACTGTATGAGCAGGTACCCAAACCCGAAGGTCGCTGGGCCTTGAGGTATTTATGAATCCATGAGGTCCTCTGGTCTCAATGTGAGCGATCAAATCAAATTTTGGTAAATTTTGGGTTTTTCGGTTTTTGGCCATTTATACTCTCTTAAAGTTCAAATTAAAGACATAGATTTGATCTTTGAGTTTCTAGAAACCTTGCCAATACTTCGGATTTGAGCTCTAATATGGGCAGAACCTCCACTTTTTTCACCGTCTCCAATTTTCCCTCTCTTTCTCTCTCTTCTACATCATTTTTAGGTGAGTTGAGCACATATTTGTTTGCTTTTTATATTCCAAAATCTCCTCTCATAATCATTTTATTGCATTACTTCATTATTTGGTAGCTTCCACCTCCTACTTGCTTTGGATCAACTTAGTTGGATCCTTCCTTTTTCAAATTCAAAATTTTCATTATTTTTTTTTTTTAATCAAAATTTTGAATTTATAGTTTTTAATTAATAATTATCCTATTTATACTATAAATGAAATTTGAAGATTTCCCAAGTTATTTTTCCTTGAATTGAATTTTTCAAGTACCCCAATTTTACCTAATCACTTTTCGAATTTGAGATAAATATTTTGGGTCAAAAAAAAATCCATTTCCACTAAATCGAACCACCATACTATTTCAATTCCACCTCTCTAAATTATTCTAACTTAAATCTCCTTTTTGAAATCAACTCATCTTATCTGTCAAAACTGACTTCATTGGATCAAATTTACTTCTTCTGAATTTAATCACCCATCTCCAAATTCCACCAAATTGAATCGACCATCCTCCAAATCAAGATCAAAGACTATCAAAACTTGTCCGATCATTAACATTTGATCGAAAATTATTAGATATCACAATTTGCCATCCTTAAAGAAGTTTTGTTCTCAAAACTTAAATCATTGTTATTCCTTTATGCAAACAATATACAAAGATTCAACATATGCCAAATATTTATACTAATCTACATAGTCTGCAACTTAATGCTCTTGATCAGATGTTATTGTGAATACTCTTTCTTTCACCTTTTTGTTTTGGTCATTGTTTGCCTGGAATTGTATTGGTTGCGAATTCGTCACTGGCGGTATCTGTGAACTGTCTCCTACTTGAAACTGCTAATAACACTTTTGGTCGAATTGTCATCGTAGTGGACACATTGACTTTACGTGTCCGACTTTTCCACATTTATAGCATTGTTTTCAATTCGAACCATCCTTTGCTATCTCATTTCTTGGTCTTAAGTTCTAGCCTAAATTTTGGTCATTTTTCCCATTGTACCCCCACTTGCCTTATATATAAGTGGCTTCTTTGTCATCCATTGAATCAATTAGCCTGGGTATCATGTTGTTGCTTCTGTTTCTCTCACTTTTTAGTGTTTTCTAGATATTTTTCTACAATCAAAGCTACTTCGACTAATTTTCCGTAAATTTGATCCAGAGAAGAAGAATCCTTTCTCTAATAGTTGATTATAAACCTTATTTGAAACGTTTAACTTTCTTTACTTCGATGGGTATATGTTCTTTAGCATGACATGATAACTCCGTAACTTTCGCTTCATATTGAGGTAAACACATATTTTGTTGTAAGATAAGAAATTCTAATACAATATGATCGTGACTACTTTCGATGAAATACTACCCATTGAATACTTAAATACTTTCCAGATCATTTCTTCGATATTCTTTCTCCTTTTAACAGACTCCCACTTATAGTCTGCTTCAGCATGAAACACGTAGGTGGCCAATTTGACACATAAATTTGCTTGAATCCCCATGGCATCCATTAATTTCTTGATCTGATGGAGCCACTTCTTCATGTCCAATGGATTCTCACTTCTCTAAAAAGATGGAGGATGTTGTTTTAGAAATTCATTTAATGTTATCATTTGATTTCTCCCAATTTCCCTTTGTGGATTTGGTGAAAGCAATCTTTCCTTAGACACTGTTGGTGGGTTGGGTGCTAATGGTTTTGCAAAGTGCCTTAGGTTCTTGTGAGTTGTCGGAGTTCTTTGTTATTGAGTTTGAATTAATGTAGTCAAAGTTGCCATTTATTGTAATATATGTTGCAATTCCACTTGATCTTTCCTAACTGTCTATTCTTGATTGGCTTCCTCGGGTTGACCTTTGATTGGTCTACCTTTTCCCCTCCTTGTAATTGGTATTTCTAGAACGAAAATCAGATCCACTTAGTCATTTACCTCAAAAAAAATATAAATAATCACCCAAAAGTCAAAGAACAACCAACTTATTATAACAATTTACATTTATTACACACCCCACCATATGATTAGCAACTATATCTGTTACTTTTCCAATCTTAGATAATCCTTTTGTGTATAGATCAAAAGTTTGTCCACGACAAAAGCTATATATGGTTCCCAATTTCTCATTCTTTCCTTTCCGGAGGTCCATTAATGAATGAACTGCATGGTAGGAGGG